TATTAGTTATACAGTACAGTATATATTATCGTTTCTGGCTGTGAATTGTTTTCCTTTCTTAGAAAAATCTAGTTAGCATTTGTTTAATAACTTTCCTAAAAAAGTAGTAAGAGAAAAGAGATTGTTACCTTAGATAGAATTATAGTCAACATAGTATACATAGTTAAAATGGTGTACATAGCACACATAGTGTACATAGTATATAGTGCATATAACGAACATGTTGAACATAGTTAACATAGTGAATATAGTTGTATAAACTTGTTAGCATGTAAAAGATATATAAGACCTGCTTTTTCGCTTGAATAAAGATTAGCTTTGTGAAGTTCAAATTAAATAAGACCTTCGAAATTAGAATAGAAGTATTGGATTCTAACCCTCCGATAAGTGAAATCTGTAAATAATGATTGGAATTCATGACCAAATCCTGTGACTCTGTGTAAAGAGATTCGTGACATAGTCAAGAGCTCTAATCTGACACTATTACTAAGGACCCAATTAACCCTGGTTACTCAGACCAAGTCTTTTCATGCCTCAATCGTTGCCTTACCACTACTAGGGGTTTGGTTGTATTAGTTGTGGTGTTCTGGTTAGAGAGTTTAGTTAGTTTTAGTATTGTGTAGTAGTGTATAGTTGTATTATCTAGGACCAGTGCATCGTTTTCGCCTTTCACAATTTGGTGGTGACTGTGAGATTGAACTTTCCTATACCACTCAAATTATAACTCTTATTGCAAAACCAAATTGCTCATTTAATCTGCAAAAAGAAGTTGAAACAAATAACCTTTATAGACATGGAAGGCTTATACTATGACCCTTGGAAAAATATGTATAGTCGTAAGGTGAAGCCTGTCAATATAGTGTCCAAAGTCAAAACGAAGATGAAAGAAGCTAAGATGTTTATAGTTACCCTATTGAAAGATTTCGACAAGAAGGAGCACAATGATCCTGATAACAAAAACCCACCACATGAAGAAAAACTTCAACCTGATATCGAACCCAAAAAGGATAATAGAAAAACAATCAGACATTATCAAAAATCAGTTTAAAGTGGACTTGATGCAGGTATAAACGATACCAATAAACCAAACAGTCTTGATGATTGCAAAGAATTTGGTGGTCCCCAAGATTCTGCTATTGTGGATCGTGCTGATGAAAGAACTAACCTTGAATTCTGCGCTCAAAATAGAATCAATATCGAAAAAGATGAAACAGACACATCGACTAATGGAATTGAAGTTGAGCTGAATAAACCTAAGACATTCGATGACCTCCAAGAATCGGCTGGCGCAGATCAACCTAACGAAGGAAATAACATTGGAACCTGCTACAAAAATGGAATTGGT